AATCAAGACATGAGCGCCTCGGCCTCTATGTTTCGTTGTTTTTAACAGCAACAGACGTATAGCAGTGAACTCCATGCATGCTGATTTTCAACAAGCCATAAAAAGTTAAAACGGGGCGCAGAGGATTACGACAGGTTACGAGTGGAACCGAACCCGCAACCTTCGGGCTACGGGCCATTCACCTTGCTGATCTCCGTCCGTAGTCATCGACTGTGTTTGCGGTTCCAAGTCGTTGGTTGTAATCTCATCAGGATCACACACAATTCCATTGCTGTACTGATTTGGACAGCAAGTTTACTGCAGTGCTCATGCACGGGAATTACTGTTTTCCCGTTGGGTCTACCCCAGTTCCGCTCTGTGCAGCAACGCTTAGCCATTGCATTTGTCTTTTTGCAGCGATGTACGCCACTTTCTTCACTCTTTAGGTATGGAGGAAGTCTTCTGCTTTTGGTTGTGGACCAAAAATAGCTGCCAACGCCTCTGAGGCAGACAGAGAGATCTGAGGCAGCGGGGACTGGCAGAGGGGTTCTAGGCAGGAAGGGGCGGAGATATTCCTATTACAACAAACTCTGGCTCAAAGCTGCCGAACTGCGTTTGTTGCAAAAAATGGATGATGAGTTTCAGCCTGAAACTCCGGTGCTACACTTTGCCGATACTTTCAGGTGTATCATCTCCGTTTCGTTTCGTTACGTATGCGTGCTGGCTTGGGGAACTGCAGATACACCCGAGCGAATGGGTGCTGCGCAGCCAGTGGAGGCGGAGTGCAATACAAACGAACTAAGCGCCGGATATCAGCAACCCAAAACCAAACGAACGCACGAAGGGACTGCGTGCATGTAAGCTAGGGAGGAAAAATGCAGGTGAGGCATAGGACGTCGCCAGACACGCAGAACAACCCAATGGCTCTAATGCAAACTTGCAGAGACAGCGCAAAGCAGTTGAGACAAACGAAGACTGTGGGAGTTCAACAAAGCCAGCTGTTGTTGCTGATATGAACAAAGCAAGCGGTTGTTGTACAGATGGACGAAAAAAAGCTATTGTTGTAAAAAAATGTTGATGTTTTTGAATCAAACACCAGCTGCAGTTGAGATAATCAAAATCAGCTGTTGTTGCTGGGGTGAACAAAACCAGCCGGCATTGTAGACGTAAACCACATATGCTGTTGTTGAGTTCAACACCAGCTGTGGTTGATGAGGTGAACGGAGCCAGCAATTGCTGTTAAGGCGAACCAAACCAGCTGTTACTGTAGAGGTGAACAAACGCAGAGCCTCAGACTTCTGCCTCTATACAGAAGGCAGCCCCTAGGCATTTGACGCTATTTCATTTCCATTCGATTTCGCTAAAGGGTTCGAGGATTCCTCTCCCTCGTGGCCACTGCCAGCTGCTGCAGGACTACCAGCAACGGTCCACTGGACCGCTGGTCCATTGGTCCAGTGGTCACCTTCCACAGCCACCGCCCCACTTCACAGGAGGCCAGCCAACCAGTGGCTCGTGCGTCCCTGCAGGCAGTCTGCCACCTGCACACACACCCAAACTGTTAAATGTGAATACACCCAGACTGTCACCTGTACGTACACTCAATACAGGCACAAGCAAGGTCTTAATACATATTCGGCCACTCCGTCGTATGAAAGCCATATATATATGTACATATATATATATATACATATATATATATATATATATATATACATATATATATATATATACATATACCAATGAGCGCGCATGAATACACATATACAATATAGTGAATATATGAATATTTTATTCATATGTATATATATGCACATTCATCTGCATTGTACTCATCTCTATGCATACAAACAAATAAATAAAAGCGATCCCTCACCTGCACTTGTGCTGAGAGCAGCGTATCAAGGCAGCACTGCAGCAGCAAATGAGCAGCAAAACGCAGTCTTAAAAAAATTCGCTGTTTCTC